GCAGCGTGCGCGGCGATGTCGCACACTCGCACAGCCTACTAGTAGCAGTATGCTGCTTGAAACTAGTAGAGATTTTCTCAGTTTATTCACGTGAGTAACCCGCGATTTTAAGTTAATTTTACGTATGTGTCACGATAGTTATTATAAAAACACCAAAATAAATTGGTATATATATTAATTATTTTGTTTACGTAGGTACTACGTACCTAAGAGAGAATAGCCTTTTGTTTTGTTGTCACCCAACCCGAACCTGAGACAATCAGATAAGTATAACTTAGTATTATTTTTCAAAACTACGTAGATAGTTATAAATATTTTATGAGAATGAGAACAATTAAGCAATTAAAATAACACAAAACATCTTTTTGCCTAATTTAATTATCTACGCGATTTTAGCTTTGTTTTACGACTGACAGCAGAAGCCCACTTTGATACTTTTTTCAGAACTTTTTGATTTTTATCATTTAAATATTTTTTATTTGTGTACAAAGACCAAGAAACAATTTGCAGATAGGGGAAAATCGCCACAGTATTTCAAATTGCGAATCAAGTGGCCAACATAAACATAGCAACGCGTACTGGCTGGTTGATTGGCTTTGGCTTTAACCACAGATTGCTAAATTATCGGAATGCTACGAACGTACCTGCGTAACTGGTCGACCTTAACGAATAACAAAACTAGATTAGGATTTTTTTAGCATAATAATGTTATTTATTGTATCAATATTATATTTTAAAATAACTATTTCCGCTAAAATGTTATTAAAGCAGATGTGCTGGACCTTGGATTTTAAACGCGACAAATTAGGAAGCTATTTTACTCTTACGTAGTTGGGAGTTCCGATTTGATTTTAAATTGTTATTTCGTTTAAACATTATTATTACATTACTTACCTATAGGTACTTGTAAGTTGCCCAGATGAGATATAAAGTACAGTTTGACTTAAAGTTTTTATAAAGAGCTATTTATGTAATTGTTTAACTTATTATATCCACTAGGGTAACAAATACCTCATAGTGACCCCGATGCCCTGATAGGTACTGTATATAATTCTCGTCTCGTCATTCATACTAAGATCAATAATAATTTGTTGACTAAGTAAACACATGCCCTTGAATTCTTATTTATTTTGGTTCAAGTTAGGATCTAATTCAGTACACAGACCTACACAGGACAAAAGATAGGTGCTGCACTAACGATCGCTTGGTAGCTACCTAATGTCTAAGTTGCATCAAACTTGATATGTTATTTTTCGTGGAATCTATTTAAATATATTTATTAGTTTACTCGTAAAGCTCGATGCATATAAGTAGTTTATTAGTCCATGCTATAAGAAAGCGAAATGTAGATGTTAATTTATGAATAAAATATGAAATCACAAATTTTGGCAAAACGTGCAGTCATTTTGTCTGCATTTGTAGACTGGTAAAGCCCCGAAATTGCACAAGACAGAACGAACCAGTGAAATTCCTTTTAGATAACTATTTCGAATAAAGTACATAGGTACCTATATAATTATGTATATAGGGAGCCGTGGAGGACTTAATGTGTTACCGGGGCTCCGGGTCGAAGTTCAGAAGTAGGAATCTTACTGACTAAAAATCACCCCGATTTTTAGTCAGTAAGAGTCTGACACTCCTGCCTCACCCAAGGCTTCGGAAATTGATTTTCCCCCTCTAAAAGAAAGGTACCGAGGCATAACATTGTTTTTATTGCTGGGTGCTCTTAACATTGAATAAGCATTTTCCCTTATACCATGTATCGCTTGTTTTGATGCATACAAAATTATTGCCAAAAAAACTTGGTTTCTCCATCTCAACTAACAAAGCGGTAAATAATTATGTATGTTATACATCACTGGAGATAAATTCAGTTTATTTACCTCAATAAAGCAGTTATCTGCATTATACTTAATATAATGTGTCCTTATACCATTTTGTTAACAAAGACAATAATGTCACACAATAAAATAGAAGTACATTTATATAGATGTAGATAGGTGCATAACGATTAATTAACATAACAAATGCAATAAAACCAGAACACGTCACGAATGAAACTGTAAGTATTAAGATCGTAATAAACATGATCTTTAATTATTTAATTATTTTATGGGGCATGGGGATAACAATAAAAAGATTGATGATATTAATTAGATACGAAACGCGCTGTACGCTCGGATCTGGTACTTGTCCGCAGACTTGCGCAAACAGTGGCCAGATATCCCGACAACGCGACGCGATACTACACCCAAAGCATCTCCTGCTCCCTTTCGAAAATGATAGAGGATACTCGATAGATTTCGAGTAGCTATAGAAAGTGATCGAGGACACTAGATGGTTTTCGAGTAACTCTCGAAAATGATAGAGGACACTCGATAGTTTTCGAGTATTTCTCGAATGTGTTTGAGGTCGCTCGATACATTTCGACTAACTTTTGAAAGTGATAGAGGACAACAGTTAATTGCAAACAACTGTTTGGCTAAAGTAAAATAAAAAGATATAAAACTTACTTGGACTTAGAACTTACTTGGATCAGCTACATTCAAAATTCTATCGCTAATGTGTAGATCATGATGCAAGCGCAGTAGGTAAGTTAAAGTAGGTATGTGCAACTGCATGAGCAGTCATTGGATAGAGATTTAAAAGAGGTTTTGAAGAATTCTGGGATGCCAATAACCGAGCAGAGAGAGCTCATTGCACTATAAGTAAAAGTAATTCGTATATTGATTTTTTTTTTTTAACTCAGAGTCCTCAGTACAAGTTTGTTTCACGTTTAAAGTAATCGAAACGAGTACGTTTTCGGCGCTCTGATTGGTTGCTTCATTGGCGCCGGCCAGTAAGAGTGCCGAACGCGTACTCATTTTGAATACTTTAAACGTAAAACAAACTCGTACTAAGGCCTCAGTTCTTTTATTCTATATTCCGTGTTTGCTACTACCAGGAATATAGTTAATGTAGTTACATTATTGAGTCACACACACTTACCTATCCAGCAAAGCCATATTATCCCAAAGGCAAACTAGGCTTAAGGCGCCAGGATTCAGAGGGGCGCCACGAGAAGCGCGTGGCTGGTGCCAATAGAGTGGTGGCGCCAAAAATTTTGTGGCGCCTTTGAGGTGCTGGCCTAGGGCGCTCACTGGGTTAAATCCGCCTCTGCTATCCAGTTTTTAAAATACATGCAGATGCTAGTTAATATTTGCTAGACTTAACAGTAACTGTTAAGCATTTGCATGACAAAAAGATTACATTTAAAACTGAAATTCTGTGTTAAGAGGCTATTGAATTTTAGGTAAGTATTTCATCAAGATATTTGCATACTTGCACCACGACACGGTGCTCGCGTAATGCAAAAAATAGTAATATACCTGAGATTTTTGGTTATGTTTCATAAACTGTAAGTAGGTATGTGTATTCTGTTGTGTAGGTTTGCAGAATTTTCTATTTAGTTGTAAAAAAAACCTAACTAGGTAGGTACCTACGTACTAAGCAGCACTCATAGAAATACTGGATAAGTAGAAGATTACTGAAAAGATAGAATCGAACTTACCTGCTGTACACAATCATGTCCACTTATTGATTATTCCATTACATAGGTATTTAAACCACAAACGGAAGTAAATACGACCCTAACAACACGAGAATACAGTTCATAAGTCCACAGTCTCATAATAAAATAATAATCTAACTAAAATAAGTATAGGTACTTACAAACAGTCACAGTGTAGATACTTAATTAACTCAATATTTAACGTATTTCCTTAACCATAGAAATAACGATATTTTTTAGCTACAATCAATGCCGTACATTTTCACGCATTTTTAGTCTTAATAAGAGGTAAAGCGCAATACACAGGTACTCTAAATATTAGTCTATCTATAAATACAACTTGCACAACAAGGTCGGAATACCTTGAAGCCTAGACCTAACGAACCTAACAAGGTTTTTATATTAAATTAATATCACATAAGTAAACTATACAAACTTGAGTCATGAGTGCTATAACATTGGTTTGTTCTTAGGTACTACCGTATTGCAACAAAGTACAGCGCAATTAGCTTTACAGTAATCCGGAATCAATCAATGAGCATCTATAAATACTAGTTTATTTAATAGCGGGTTCACCTTTGACAAACTGTGCTAGACATTCCACGGTTCATTCTCTTTAGTTGTATGTACCTTGTATGTACTATGTTGGTGCTCAGTGCGAATAAATTATTAACATTACATTCCATTCCCGTTATAAGTAGGTCACTGTGTTATCTGTGTCGGATTTTACTTGTAGGTTTTTTATTTAATAATGTAGAGCATTCACACTTTTTCCGAAATGATTTTGATTTTGATTATGGCAAAAGTCAACAAGCCACTGGCAAAGTTAGTGGCTTGTTGACTCTTGTTTACTTTCATGTTCCAAGAACATAATATTATTTATCACCGTAAAAGCCTAATAAGAACACTGTTCTTTATTAATGTTAAGTGGATACTTTGTGCTTACCAGTTATTCCAACAATCTAGCTGTTTCAGACTAACAAACCAAAATTGATATACATAACTTTTCGCTCATTTTGTACTAAATTCTAATTACGAAATTCTATCAGACACCGTGTGCCACTAAAAAATTAAATCGCTTTATATAGGTACATACTATTTTAAAAATTCATAAAATTCCCGGCTAATAATTTGACCAATCATAGTCATTACTCGTCATTACAACAAACCAATCATATCGATTTAAGTTAATCATTCCAGATGTCATACAGATATATCTTTAGCATTTGTATTTTTTTAAAACTAGTAATTGTAATCCACCGATATATCGATAATTTTATAAAAAAATATGATATTTAGATTAAAAACGATAAAATGTAATGTTTTCTTCCATTTTAAAACATGAACTATTTTTAAACCAGTGTTAAGGTTATCTTTAATTATGAAACAGATCACAGTGTAGTAATGGAACGCAGGTATTGACATTTTCCGTTTGACAGTTGCTATTTCTAAATCTCGCTCACGGTTGTCTCCACGGTTGGTTCTTGTGTAAAAATTGTATTGACTATTTTTCTAGAACGAAAACTAATTGGGTTTTATTACATATTCACGTATATGAGTATTAATTACTCTATCAATTCAGTGTAATAGTAGCGATTAATTGGGTGTTTGGTGTGAATTGTGTGTCCGTATTTGTGATATGACGACGTTATTTTTATTATAACAAAAATCATGAATATCTTTTTGAATTTTGCGTCGATTCTCCTGTATTTGGCGGTACAATGTCAGGGATCTGGAACAGATATCGCGCTGGACGCGAAAGCCACACTTCTACATCGAATAGACAGTTTAAATCTTTTAATATACACTTGTCTGTTAACGCTTACTGTGCTCACGATTTGGGTATTTAAACATCGTCGTGTGAGCTGGCTTCACGAAACAGGACTTGCTGTAATTTATGGTGAGTGAATTTAGTTTCAAACTGAGCATCAATTATTGGTTTTTTACTTAGCAGTCATGTGATCACTCAACAATATGATGTTCAAGACCTTGACGTAAATTATTTACCTTTATGTACCTATCTGCCGCTGAATTGTTGTTTGTGTATTTGTATAAGTATATAAGTACAACTCTATATGGGTTTTACTTTATTGAATTCATTATGAAAAGGGGAACCAATTATTCGTTATCACCATCTGTTATTTAAAGTATTAAATTACCCTTTAACAGATTACATCAAAAAAAGGTAGTAGTAATAATTAGTTGAAAATTGTAATGTTTATAAAAATAAAGTCGTATCAATTATTTTTTATTAGAACTGCCTTAGGTAATTAAAATTGAAAAATATGCCTTAGCAATCTACCTATTTAGCAAGTAACTAGTTTAAAGTACTGGCTTGAATTTTCTAGTATTGTTTACATAACATTTTAATTGCACATTCAGCCAGTGATACTTGGCTGTACAAAGGAAGTTGTTGCTTAACACACTTTCCAATAGAACATTGTTTTCCTTTTCTTTTATCATTTAGGTATTTTTTTTAATTTTATTGTAACCTTTCATACAAAATTTATTAATTCAGTTGATTCTTATCATATATTTAAACAGAAATTGAAGACCAATAAACTGAAAGTTTATATTTAGCAAATCTAAACCTCCTTAATTAAAGCTAATTGTTAAACTAAAATTCTTTATTCTTCTTTCCCAGGTCTAATCGTAGGAGCAATAATTCGCTATGCAGCTAGTACAAACCAAGTTACCTACATCAATGTGCACCCTGCACCGGACACAAAGTACAATCTATCAGTCCCACCAGATATGTTGCGCCTGCATTTCCCTGATAAGATGCAGGTATCTTCAGGAGGTAAGATTTTATCTTTCACCATTTTTATGAGGCTCTAACAATAACAGCTGGGGTTTTTGCCATAGACTTGGAACAGGTCCAGTCTCTATGCTATTACTGAGAAATTTCCGTACTGGTTGTCAAATCTGGGTACAAAACCTCTTGATTGACAGTCAGACTTGTGGCCATTCAACTGAGACAAAGTTTTAAAAATACTCTATAGCCCAAAAAAGTCACTCAAATATTTGTATTGATGTTTATTATCTCTGTCCAAATGATAAAACATAAAAGGTCAAGGTTTGACTTATAAAAAAAGATATGCTTCTGTTTCTACTGGATCTGTCTAAACAAATGTGTATTGTGTTCAATCATCACTATATTTTCTGTAAATTAATAATCTCCTTATGAGATGATTTGAAACATTAGATTCTTGTTCTGGGTAAGGCCTTTTTGGGAAGTAAACAATAGTCTGCAAACAAATTCTTAACATTTATATTCCAAAATAAAGTCAACATTGTAAATTGCTTGACAATCAGCCTCTTAGACTGTTTTTATGCAAACTTTTTGTCTGTCATTCACACACTTGTAGGCCAAACAATATGGCCTTGTCTTTTTTTCGTTTCTAATGAATGCCATATAATAACTTCTCTATTTATATTTAAAATTATCCAATGGATTAATGGAATGTTACCCATGGCAATACCTACATTTACTCTGATATGGAATGACCAGGATCTTCCTTATGTATATTGTTACTAGCTTTCCGCGCGCGGTTTTGCACGCTTGTTGTAGGGTTTTACTATACATTTCAATTTTTATCTTGAATTAATCTATCTATTAAAACCACCGCATTTAAATCCATTGTATAATCTTAAAAGTCTAAACATAAGGACAGACAGCAGTGAGGAACTTTATTTGATACTATGCAATGATAACTATTAACTTCATTTTGTTTTCATACAGATGCTCCAGTACCAAACAAGACTTATGCCTATAGCTTTAGAGGAGAAATAGTAAATGTGGAGCAAAATGAGATAGATCTTAAGGCTACATTTGATCCCGAGATATTTTTTAATATAATTTTACCGCCTATTATATTCCATGCTGGATATTGTCTTAAAAGGGTAAGTTTTTTTTTTGTTAGATATGATTGTGGTTGTACCTGATCGTTTATTTATCCTTATAAAATGGTTTCTGAATTTTAATGATAGAGGATAATGTTTATTTCTGTAAACAAAGTGGGTTATGTTTAAACTTATCATTTCCTTTTTTATCAAAATTTTAAAAATATAATATACAAACAAACAGATATCTAAACCAGTGTAATTTAAAATATAATTTCTTAATGTTATATGATTCGTGCTATTTATATCACAGAATCACAGAACTGGTTTTACATAGTAATCAATTTTCCTCATCAGTGATACAACTTGATGGTAAATGAGGATTTTTACTTTTTATTGACCAGGAAAGTAAAATGTTTTATGTGCAATAATTGTTAGTTACCAGTAATGGTAATTATCAGCATATAAATAAGCAGTATGATATAACATATCTGAGGTGAGGCTGAGGGACACATAAGTACCAATATAACACCCATTTTAGTGGTATAGAAAAATACAATACTAAATTAGGAATAATAAGTTTTATGATTGAGATAAGGATGGATTACAAAAAATATTAGACACAATAATATTAAAGTTATGGAGGGGCGTGACATCAAAACTTCATATTAAATCGGCAGAACTGTATCTAATATAGTTACCATCTTTTAAAAAAAAGTAATATTTTACAGAAATATTTCTTCCGTAACCTGGGAGCGATATTAACGTTCGCAATGGTTGGCACGGCGCTCTCAGCGCTGGTGATTGGCTCCCTGATGTACGGCTGCGTCCAACTAATGCCGGCGTCCCTCGCATCCAGCTTCACCTTCCTAGACACCTTGTATTTTGGAGCACTGATCTCACCCACTGATCCGCTGACTGTTCTTGCCATTTTCTCACAACTTAAGGTAATGTTCATTTATCATTATTTACTTTACGAGCTCGCTTTACGTTTAAAGTAGAAGCGAAACTAGAAGGCGCTCTGATTGGCCGGCTCCAATGAACCAACCAATCAGAGCGCAGAGAGTTCTAAGCCCTAAGATCTTGGTAAACATTACAATGTAAGACCTAATTTTAACAGTTATATCATCAATCCCATGTAGTAGTGGATCTGCTGCCATATACTGAGCACAATTTCAGCCTCCATGTATTTATGTACTGAGAATAATCTAAAGCAGAAATCCTTATTAAACTTTGACCAACACAAAATTCGGATTCGTTGGTTGGCATTCGCCCTTGATAGGTAGAGGTACCACTTGACCTATGGGGCATCCTGGCGTCTATTATACTAGTTACTCAGAACAAGCTGTTTTATATGTTTTGCATAGAGACACAGTTTTGAAGTAAATGAATCTTAACAAAGAACATCAGTAGGTAAACAAGTTTTATGTTACTAGGTAGTATTGTAGAATATTATGCTGTTGAGTTTCTATAGCCACTGTAAATACATTATTTATAGGTACTATACTTGCTTTGTTTCACTACTAGGCGAACACGACATCTTTTCATTCTGTATACTTACTTTATAAAATGAAGAATGACTGATATTGTAATATTAATGCTGCATCTCAACAGATGCAGGAAACGACTTTCCTGAAAGGGTCTAGCTCTAGTCTGAAGTAAACATAACAGAGTATAACTTATCGCCACTTATTAATAGTCCTTCTAATAAACAAAATATCTGTTGCGTTGTTCAGTTTTTTCTGCTGTGTCGTGGGTGCGTTTACACATACAAGTTCACATAAACAATGTCACCCAGACCCGAAACAACAATCTGTGGATCACACAAAGTGTTGCCCGTGCGGGAATCGAACCCGCGACACGTTGCACGGTGTAGTCAAACACAGCACTTAATTATAATTTCAAAATCAATTAACTACTGACTCAAAAATACTTTTTCTCCTCGACAATCGAACCTAACAACTTCGGTTTAGTAGGAACCTTATGTTTCGTAGTCAGACTTGCGAACAGGGATAGGCGCAATAATATTCACATGTAATTTCATGATACATTAATTTGTCTATGTTGTAGTCTATTCAGTTATATTGCTGTGTAAAAATATATTACGCTAATTATATCTGACTCATCTTTGCCTTTATGGCAGTCATGTGTTCATAAATATCTACGTACATACTTACATGTCGGTAAAACCTGCTATGTTATCAGTTTCACCATATTCTGAATTACCTGCATTATTGTAATGACAATATGTACCATCAAATTACACGCATAAATTACTAAGAGAGGCCTTATATTTGTGTATCTTGCTCTGACGAAATACCTATTGATATTTATTTATTTTTAACTTTTATTTTTGTACCTGCAAAGGATAGATAGAAATTTATCTATTTAACTAGACATTCTATGAGGACTAATAGTTAGTCACTGTGAATAAAAGCCTAAAAATACAATCGTGACCTATGAGGTTTTATCTAGTATCTATACTAGATAAAACAAAACATAAACTGCCTAATCGGTCAAAGTCTAACTTCGTGTCCAAAAGTCGCTTTTCTATGATGACCACTGTAGGTTTTTACTCTGAAATAAATTATTTATTTCTTATCTATGAAACATACATATAGAGAAAATAACAATAATAATGTTTATAACTGGTCTAAAACTAGTTAAAACCGTCCATTATGCCTTTTCTATTGATTATTGCGTGAATAAAAGAAAAACACATGCATTTATTGAGTAAAAGTATTGTATTTTATTGATAGGTATTGAATAATAATGTAGGTATTAATTAATAATTACCAAGTAATATCACAATGAAGTATCAGAAATGAGATACAATCGTTGTTACATTGTTTACTCGTTTATCAAGATCTGCTGAATCACGTGAGTGTAATTTTTTTCAAGGTGTCTCCCTATTGTGGTAGAATTGTCAGAAATGTGTCAATATTGTTACAGGTGGATGTTAATCTGTATGCGATGATATTCGGGGAAAGTGTTCTCAATGACGCAGTGGCTCTTGTACTCAGCGGGTAATGTATGCTATTGTTAATTATTTTGAACAGAGTACCGGCTATTTGTGTCTGTTTCGTCTCTTGAGTATCGTTTACATAGTTTGTACGACGGTTGAAACATCTAAAACGCGTTGAACTTTTGGAAAAAAAGACTGGGAAGTGTGGATATTTAGCTCCCTAAATCACTTTGGTGATCACCAGCACCTGTCCTGCGCATGAGATGCTCTAAATAGTTCAGCTTCAGCTAAACTCAATAATAAGACTCATTATTTCAGTTAG